ATTGTGGGAACATATGTAGATGTTCATTAAAAGATTGAATTTAACACGTTGCAGTTTTCAAATCCCTTCGGGTTGCATGGCACATGGGATAAGAGGGGGCTGTATGGCCGTTTTGGTTAGAACTTTTTGTTTGTGGCATAAAAACTTTCCGTTTGTGGCAGGACTGACAGAGAAAACTCACTCAGCTATTCAATATGTCATTCAGTCATGCCAACGGAACTTTAGATCCTTGAGCAAAACTTTTGTGCACCAAAGAAACTAAAACATAGACAGAGGAATTTAAAACAACTTGTTCTCTGGCTGTAGACCGCTTTAAATGTACGGATTACTATTCATAAAACTCAGTTATTCATAGAATTGTTGATATTTGTCATTCAAGGGGAAGGAGGGTAGTTTACACAAAGTCAAATTGTCAATTCCAATTTGGTAAATTAATCTCAGCTTCGCTTTTGATTCCCCACTACCATTTAATGAACAAATCCAGCTGAAAGCCGTGATCAAATATTTAGAAAATAATTACATTAATTGCAAAGAATTTTCTGAAGCGAGAAACAGCCACAGTCCGCCCTGATTTTCAACCGCGGCCATTGTCCTGTTTGTCTATTAGCTAAAAACCGCAGAAGAAGCCAAAACAGAAACAAACAATAGGCAGCTTCCCCCCAGCAGCACTACAGAAAGCACCACCCCCAACCCAACCCAACCCAAGCCATTGAAATAGCGATGGTTAAAGTGAAGAGTAAATTCATTAATTTAGCTGACCAGCAGCCAGAAGAGCAGAGTAAACCAGCAATTAAACGTCAGTGTTTTCTAAGCTCTGAAAAGAGAGAGAGGGAGAGAGCTAAGGATTGTATCGGAGCTACCTTTAGCTTCTGCCAAGGCTTTGTTGCCTCTGCCTTTGACCATTGAAGCGTACGGCTATTGAGTGCTGAACAACAATGAAAAGCGAGTGGCAGCGCTTAGTGACAGACGCGTCGAGAAGAGCATCGATTATTGGTTGTTGTTCAATCAATTGTGGTTAAGAATCATTGAACATTGCACACACGTTGAACTCCCACGGCTACACTGCAAAAAAAAAAATGCATTTAATATGGAAGTAAATATTAAACAAAAAAATGAATGTAAAGTGATTATAGTATACAATCAATGTTACAAATAAACACATTTAAAATCTAAGCTTAATTTATATATTAGCTGGATATAGTATGCTATTTTTTTTGCCTATGTATCAGGCTAAAAGCACTTTATCAGACAATCATCACAGTCTCAATTAGGGCCAGACAGGGCGGCAAAAGGGGAAGCAGCCAGAAAATCATGGAAGGTAAAAGGTGCTTCAAGGTGAACTCAAAATGTCTTAAGCAGCGTAGCTCTCAAGGAATGTAGAGGCTGACCTCTTAACTGAATTAATTAAATATTACTGACCATTGACCTCAATTTGTATGCCTTACTCAAGTGAAAATTGGTCTGAAAATATGAACTCATTTAAATTTCAGATGTGCCGACAACTGACAAACTTTTCTCAAGTTGAAAGCGAGAGTTAAAGCAGAGTTCTATTTGTGGTAAAAGCTACCCAGAAGAAATCAGAAAATTAAATTCCCACAAGACTCATGGCCATTCGACAATCAATACGAGTGTCATGTATCCCCATGGTAGTTGAGACCATCCATATTCGTGTTTTTATAAGCTGACTTCCCACTTTAAAATTTACCCCTCGTATTCGTGTTCCGTGGCAAGGATTATATGGATTTAATGGCTCGAGACCCACACACACATCATTTTAAATTGGCTCGGCTGTTGAAACTTTCATTGATTGGAAACTTTAAAACAACAAAACCGGCAAAATGGAATAGCTTATGTGCTTAACTAGCGGTAAGCATGGCTATAAGCCCAACGACAAATATTTCCGCACTCATATGGGAACCCCCCGACAACGGGGACCCAAATCAATGTAAGCCCTCTGTCCGACAGAGGACATAAATCGAATGCCCAAACGCGTTACGTGTGTTGCCAACATTTAAGTTTGGGGCCCATCAAAGTCCATAAATAGTCAGGGTCATTAGAAGTTAATTGGCCTTGAAAGCACTTGCCATGACGATAGCCGGGTATGTGAAGCTATGAGCTGCAAGCTTCATACATTTCCTGTTAAATAAAATATATAAAATATTCTTTAACTGACAAATAGGAACCAAAGAAAAGCCAAGGAGGAGGAGATTAAGTCGTAGTAAAATGAATTTCATATAAAATCCATTCAATAGAAATGATGGCAGCTATTGAAAGAGAAAACTTAAGCTTCGCACCCTCTTCAGTGACGTTTGAAAGGGACTTATCTGCAGACTGAAAGACGCTGCAGGATTATGATTTAATGAAATGAAATGGCGGATGCAAACAGCCATGAGAGGGGTAATGTAATGTAATGTTATACTGCCCCTCATTTTTGTCTGCGAAACTTAGCCCCAGGTGTTGGTCACTTAATCAAATCTGACCCAGAGCCTAATGAGGCCTGCCTCATTCCCTGTGCTCCCTCTTCAAACTCCGCCTGGGCTGCCATTAACAGGCAGATTAAGAAATTAATGGCCACCAATTGAGCGCAGGGCAGGCTCTTTGTCAAATGCAGATTTGGGTCCAACTTTAAGTTCATTTTTCATTTTTAATGCTCGCCACAGGGCAAGTTTGTCCATGAATAAGCGATTAGATGCCACCAACTTTGTTGTAGAATTCTAAGGGATGCGGATCTGAGGAGCGCTTTTGCGGGGAGGCAGCTTATTAAATGTCCTGTCAAACGACAATTTAAACGTAAGGCTTTTAATTGTTTGACAACACACACACACACACACACACATACAAATATTGCTCTTTCCTCACTGCCGTTGGCTTTGTCTCGTCGTAAAAGTTACGATGTGGCAGCTGCCAAAGAAAGTTGACTGGCTGTCCGGTTGGTCCCTTCATTGCTGATTCGATTGTGGCTTGGTCCCAAAAGTCCCATGGCGAAGCCACACAATTGATTAAGTACTGGCAAAAGAACAGCAGGAGCAGCAGGAGCAGCAGCAGCAGTAGCAGCAGAAGGTGCTCTCACTGTACATTGACGGCCGTTAAGCGAGGACAATGGTAGACTCCTTTGCTGGATAGGATATAGAAGACAGTGAAAAACTTTTATAAATAGTAGTACATATATATATAAGGTATTTATTAGCCACAGAAGAGTACGGCAGGGAGTATAGTTCTATACATTGACAGACGGCAAACAGAAGGAACAAAAGGTAAAATTCATTTGGCAAAAGACGAGAAGCCACTGCAGTGGCGGCAGGGCAGGATGGAGGCGGCATCAACTTCCGTTTCCGTCAACACTGCCATTGACTACCATTTCCGCTCCGCTCTTTCTCAGCCCTCTGGCCCCCAGGACAGACAGCAGAGTAGGAAAATGTGCCTGGCAGCAGCCTCGTTCGACTGCTTAGTGGTTAATTTGCAAATGGATGTACATGTGCCACATAATTATTGCTCTGACAGTAGACTGACTATACTATTACGTTTTAATTACGAATCTCATTACCTACAGCTACCTTGAGGCTCAACTTTATTGTCCTTAACTGAAGCTATGAGCTGCTAACAGCTGCTTTTAATTACATTATTCGGATACGACAAAGCGTAGCACAGCAATGCAGCACCTCATCTTGAGCTTAATACAAAGAAATAATTTAATTTTGCGAGTGGTTAAAAGTGTCAAAACTTTGACAGATTCTGTCAAAGCTGTCTGTGGGTAATGCTGATTGCCACACCAATCCAATCCACAGATAGACACTCAAAATCACATAATGCATGCAGAGCATTTTGCGGCTCCACAGGATGTTACACCTACATACATCCTACATACTCGTATGCCCTGTGGACCCGTGTGGATTTTGAAACACTTAAACGCTCAGGGGCCTCGCAACATGACAGTGCCATAATTTCCAATAAAAAATTGATCCAAAGCTGTCAGACGAAATATTTTATTTCTCTGGAAATGTTCAAACTCTGCTGTAGATTTATGGTTGTTCTGATGCCATGAGTAATTAAGTTCGTACATAGATTTTATGCTGAGAATCTTGCCATATCCATTTGGCTTTGATTTTTCTACTCTGCACATTAATACCCTCCCAGATTATAAACAGTTAAAGCATTTCCAACCCCAACATTTAGTTGCCATTGGAAATTGATCGATTTGCAAGTGTTATTAAAGCTTTGACCCTCGCAGAGAGACGGTCTCCGTCTTGTTTGAAGCTTCAATGGCTCACACTTTATCCCCAAATCATCCACTCAATCTACACGCATAATACCCATAAATTTCGAGCACCATTCTTGGCTACAGTTACAGCCCGTAAGTCAAAATCATTTGTCATAATTCCCGCCCAAGAAGGGGATCGAAAGAACAGAAAAAAAGCGCCCCCCCCGACAAAATGTTGACCCAAACAGAGCACCTTGGGCTATCAAAGTGGCCATTAAAAGGAACCCCCAAAAAAATAAAAAGAAAGCAACGAGCAAAAACACAGAGAGCACATGGCGCGGTGCGCATTCGACACGAAAATCGACTGAAAAGCAATTATTTACACTTCGGCAATAAAAATATGGAACACGCAGGCAGAGAAACAAAAACAAAAAAAAAGTATTCCCCCCTACCAGACAGCAGAAATTGTGTCAGGAATGGCGTTGTGCAATTTATTGCCATTAATTTTTCTTGGCTTTCTGTCTTTTGTGGTGGGTGCCGTGTGCCTGTGCCTGTGTCTGTGTCTGCTCTCCGTGTCACTCGCTGAAATTGCATATCTGCGGATTGTGGATATAATTTTTATGACTATCGCTTTCTTTTCTTTTCTTTTTATTTTATTTTTTTTTTCGTTCAACTTTTTATGAGCTTTTTAAGCATTGAACCGAATATTTTTCAGAGAAAAACGAACAACTTTGAGAGCACTTTAAGTGTTGTTGGAGAGTCTTCAATCCATTTGCTAATTTTGACGAATTTCCATTTGCAGACTTCGCATCGAAATGAACCACGTGCTGTGTCCGTCATCTGTTTATTGCCTTATTCTGTGAGTTCTGTGATTGTGCCCGACTGAAGCCTGAAAGCCTGAAGAATGGCGGCGCCCACTTCAATCATGGAAATCCTCGGATGCCTGACCCTGCTGCTCCTCGTGCTGCTCGTCAGGAGCGGTAAGTGCTGCGAATTAATCAGAAGATGGCAATTGAATTTAATATCCCCATTCGACAGGCTATTGCATAGACTGCTTCAAGTGCGTCTCGTATAATGGGGCCAACAAGGCGTGCGACGATCCGTTCCACAACAACTACTCCACCGCCATTCTGGAGTCGCCCTGCATGGGTGGTCGCAAGGGCCGCGACGGCCTCTTTCCGGCCACGGCCTGCATTAAGATCGCCGGCTATTATGGTAAGTGAATTTCTCGGATGATGGATGAGATGCTTGCATGGTCTTGACATTAATATAATTCCTACCCTATACCCCCCCCTGGCTGCCTGCAGATGACACCGGCGAAACGATAACGGTGCGCGGCTGTGCCCTGGACAGCGGCACCCTCACCACAGACACCGAGTTAATAAGAATGTCGCACTGTGGAAAGTTCTACTACGATAATAGGTTAGTTGAAGTGGGTGCCACTCAGAGCCAACACTTTGCTGAGCAAGTTCAATATAAAATATGCAAAGAACTGATAATGAAGTTTTCTCATAGTATATGCAACTGATAACTTAACATTATCCGACATTTCTCACTCTCCCACTTTTCCCCGCAGATACGTGCATGGGTGCCTTCAGAGCTGCAGCGATGCGGATGCCTGCAACACGGCCACGTCGCGACGGCATCCAGCGAAGGCGGAGGCGCTAATGCGGCATCTGCTTAGCATCGCGGTTTTGCTGCTGGCAGCTGCAAGGTAGCAATAGAAGTAGCGCATTGCAGGAACCATAAGGATGTGCGAGATGGGTGCGAAACCCCCATTAAAGTTGAGCAGATATTGAGCAGAAACGAAGTGAAAAAAAGCATGCAAAAGCATTTAATATAATTCAGCTGCGAGTGGAAATCGTTTTTTTTTCCTTTGGTTCGGCTATGCCGATGCCCCCCCACCCCCACTCACATGCGCCCTATACCCGATGTCTCTGCCTGCATGTCATCCCTCCTCACTCTCAAAACTCTCTCAGTGTCTAGGATTGCACCTTACAATACTAATGCACCAGAGCCACGAGCCACAGCAGCAACAAGCAGCAAGGAGAAGCCACAAGGACACCCGAACACCACACAGTCAGCACAGTGGCAATGGAGCGTATTTTTTATGGAATTCATCAAGCAATTATGTGATTTATAAACGAATACTCAACAACTATCTAACAATAATTGATGAACACGAAGCGGAGTGGAGTGCAGTCTCAAGCGAAACTTGAACTACATATGTAGTACATATATGTATATGTATTTAGGTGCGAGTATATGCTAAGCATTCGAGAGTCAAAGAGTCGAAAATCAAAGGCACAACTAAATGCGAACTTAATTCAAATTCTAATTGCAATTATTTTAAGCTTCTAAGCAAAATGTAACTAGATTTAATGTCGCTGTCGCTGCTAAGTTTTCAAAAACAAAAAATTCTGTGGGGGCAAACGCAAAGCAAATGTTTTTTCGATTTTTAATGCGATGCGTTAGAGTATTTTTCGCCTCCCTAGACGACTATTGTACATACTTACATACATATATATATATATATAGAGAAGCAAATTGAATTATTTGTAACAATGAACGCTGAATTTTAGGCCAGATTATAGATTAAACAATTGTGTATAAATAAATTAGTGGGCTAAAGTTGTAAGGAAAACTGCGAACCAGTGGAACGGATGTAGAACTCGATCCAAACTAAACATTATCAATTTACCAAGAAACAGGGAAACTATTTTTTCATTCAAGTAGGTCACTTTTATTCTCACGTCATACTTTTCACCCATTAAAGAAAAACAAGTGTATGCCGGCGCTGCACACGCCTTAAATCAAGCCATAAAAGCCAGTCATAAATGACACAAAAACATTCTTTATAGGGTTATCAATGTATGGTTAGACACCAATCCGCTCATAGTTACCGCTTTGCTATGGCTATCGCTGCCGGTCTGCCTTTTATATACACATATTGAGTCACCCCACACTCTAAAAAAAACCAACTACTTTTACCAACCAGAAGATAAATTGTTTCACATATCAGGCATTATTTAAAGAATTTTCAAAATATTACTTTAGAAAGTCAATCATGCTGTCTTCAATTTATTTCTTTATGGAAATTGCCTCTACATTTTAATCACTTCAAAAATTGATAATGAAGTACATCATAAATCGGGCCTAAAATATATATGGGGAGTACCCAAATGTATAATTAGAAATGGTTTTAAAAACTACCGCAATTGAGCACATATATCTTTTATTTTTTGGAGTGTGGTGTAACTAAGGCGAATCGCTGGAAAGCTTAAATTAAAATACATATAGCTACTTTTTTGTGGGTGCATCTGATTCGTTATCGGACCAGCTCGGCATAACCTGATAAAGAATATCGCCCAAAAGAAATACTTCCCTCGATTGGGCTTGTTTAGTACATTGCTACAGCTCGAACGAAATGGATGGTAAGAGGAGCTGCTCTGCTCCAGCACAGGAAGCCTGTCCTGTCCACTGAGGTCTCAACCACTGCATCCGCATCCCTTACAGGTCACTCTTGGTTGCACTACAGTAACGGAACTGTTCCCCAGAACGCCGTCGTGGCTGGCCACGATTCCGATGGCGACACCATCTTTGTTGGACGCGCCTTCTACTGCAACGACATGCTGCCGGCCAAGGTGATCCCCAATAAGGGCAAGGCCTACGTGGCCTACGCTGGCAATGAGGTGGAGCTCGAGAACTACGAGGCACTCAGTGGCCTCAACTACGAGTGGGTGTCTGCGGAAAACGGAGAGGTGCCGCCCGGCGCCGTTAGCGTGGGACAAAACGTCGATGGTGAGGCGCTGTACGCGGGACGTGGCTACCATGCCGGCTCTCTGACCATGGGCAAGGTGCATCCGTCGCACGGCTGCCTCTACATCCCCTACGATTCCGAGGAGGTGAAGCTCATCGCCTACGAGGTTCTGTCGCGCCGCATGATGGCCAGATAGGTCTACCCAGAGCACCATTTGTTAATCGTTAGCTGAATTTCAAATAAATTTGATACTTTTCATAGAAAACCGACAAGTGGTGCTTATCTGATTACGAATGGTTGTAAAATGGCCAGACCTTATCGTCGCTAGAAATCCGCTCTATTTATAAGTGTGGCTCATTGTCCAGGGCAACCCGAAGGGATGGAGAGATCTATCTATCTATCTTGAAGCTTGTGTTCGCAGTTTTCCCATTCGCAGTGTGCCCTGTGCCCGTTTAAACAGTTCTAAGTTAACAAAACCAAAATAATTATGGGGGGGGGGCGTAGTGCTATATTAACTTGCAAAATTACACCTAGCCTAGGGAATAATAATTATAAAGTCTAACTAAATTTTGATATGGCAAGGAGACGAAAGAAGAACCAATAGGACCAACTAAGCAAATTATGGAAAAACAAGAACTACGCAAGTAGTACTGGGCATATGCTAAGCTAGGCAACAACAGCAATAGAATTTAATAATGAACCATACACACACACACACACACACACACACACACACATAACATTTGTATGAATTTTCAGTTAAGATTTCGAGTGGTTCGTATTTGGTTTTTTTTTTCGAGTCTAAGCGAGCTTGCGCAATGGTTTCCGCAAATCAAAATGATGACAGCAATCAAAACACACACAGAAATTTTGATAGAACAAAACGGTTTTTGCTTTCGGGCAGACAAACACTTAAACACACACACACTCGCATATTGCGCTGAGATCGCTTGCTTGCAGTGCAACTAACTAAGAAACTACAGCTAAGCGCAAAACCTAATCAAAAGGAAAAGCAAACAATTAACACGCACCTCGAATCCCTCTCTCACACACACGATGAACGACCAAGCAAATGATTGTTAAAATAATGAAGTTTCATGACATTTTTGAACGCATGTACGGAACGTATCCTAGCACCTAAGAGAACTTTATACATATACAATACAAAAATACAAAACTATGGATGGGAGCATAATTAGATCAACTAAATAGATATCGCGCTACTTGAACTAATCAAACAAACAAAAATATTGAACGAAAATCCAAATTGTTTCTCTTGCATTTAAGTGCGTGCGTACAACTTTTCTGGGCAACATTTTGGAGCAAAGCAAAGCAAACATTACAAAAACAAATGAATGAACAACTAACAGCATTTCTGAATAAAAACCGCATACATATATTGAAAATTCAATACCGTCTATGAGTTTAACTTACACTACGCGTATTTACAGTCAAAAAAGGTGGGGTTGGGAGGGGGCACTGGGAGTTTGTTAATCTAAAAGACTCTTAACATAGTCGGCGTCTTCCTGCACAAACTTCTCGGCATGATCGGTGGGCACCTCAACGCTTTTGTAGTCATCCAGACCGATTTCTTCCTCTTTTCTGGAATAAAACGGAGAGCATTACAAGGGCATCGAAAGAGCGCTCTTCCTTTGGCACAAACTTGATCAAAATGTCCACGACATTTTCGCAGGCCAGCAGACAGTCACGGTCGAGGCCCACTCGCGCCTCCCACTTGTGGTATTCGCGCAGTATTTCATAGACGCCCTTGGCACGCAGAATCTCCCGACTGCGCCGCGTGGAGCACAACTGGAGGAGGCATTCCAGAAGCATCTTCCTCAGATCTGGATCCGTTTCACGTCTTTTGCTTTCGGGCAGGTACTAAGCGAACCGAAAAGAGACGTTTCTTAGCCATGCAACTGTGCAGACGGGGCGCTGACCTCACTCACCTGAAGCTCAATGGGCAGCATTTCGTTGTCCTCGTCGCTAAACTCTTCGGGGCCGCACAGCGGCTGCAGAATGGCCACCAATATGTTGTCATCTTCGCCGAGTATCACGCTGTGGTACACAGCATCGAAGCAAACGTTCTTCAGGATGCCAATGGTGCCGCCGCGACGCACCACGTTCTCCTCGTACGAGGCGAAGGGCAGCAGCTTCTCCAACAGCTGGTAGCGCGCATGGCAGCACAGCTCCCGGCCGCGCGGCACCTGCGTCAGGTTGCAAAAGATGGGCGCCAGGTAGTGGAGACGCGCCTTCTTCTTGTTGAAATCCAGCTGGGCAAAGGCTTTGGCCAGCCGTGGCAGCGTCTGCTCGCCCCGCTCCAGTATGTCGAGTATTTCGTGTACGAGGCTCTCCACGCGTGTCAGATTGCTGAGCACCATGCTCCAGGGATCTGCTAGCGGCGACTGCTCGTCGCCAATTTGTGTGGCAGCCACCTCCACAATGGCAAAGGGCTGCAAGTGATCAAAGGGCGGGTATAAGTGTGAACCCTTTACAGGGTCTGTCTGCTCGTCTTACAGGCTCGATTCGTTTGGCCAGATTAAACACTTTGGTGGCGCACTCCTCCTCTGCCGTGAGATTGATAAGGCTGAGCACTGCATCCTTGGCCACCGTGTGGTTTTCGTCGAATGTCAGCCCGAAGATGGCCATCAGCAGCTCGTCCAGCGAGAGTATTGCCGCTTTTCCCTCGGCACTGCCCGTGAGACCTGTAAGAGAAAGGCATGTGACGTCACTGTTGCCCACAAAAACCAAAACATTCAGCACGTGGAGTGCCAACGTTGGCCCACCACCTGTTTGTGCACCACACTCACCCAGCACGTGTGTCAGCGCCACCGCCTTGAGGTCCAGCCGTTGGTTGGGCTGCATAAACTGCACCAGTTCGCTCACAACTTCCATTTCGTTGTATTTATTTTTAATTATTTGTACAATTTGTAATGTTCAGTGTGACCGCGGATTTATCGACAAAATATACCGTCCGTCCCTGAAAAATATACCGTAAATATCACAAATGGTTTAAAATTTCCGAATCGAGTATGGTAGCACTATTTTCAGGGCAGTATTTCAGCAATCGAGTACGAGTGGGCGCGTAATTTTCAAATTTCATAGATTAATTTAATACAGTCTCAACAAGTAAAAATAAGCATTAATTGGGCTATAATTATGAACAAAAACTGTAAACAAAACTGACTTGAACTTGTTTTAGACAATTTTTATGCATCGCTTTGATTTGGCTGCTTATTTTTCTTGCTCCTGTGGCGGGCCAACGCAAGTGCGGTCCGTGAGCCCTTAGGCAAGAGCTTATCAGAGTCCAGTGGAGGTGTGTACAAGCTGTTGTCAACGGGCTCTATGGGATGATCCATTGCGAAAAGGACTTTGGGCAAGTCTCTTTTCACTCTCAGTGCGGATTGTCTGGGAGGAATATTCACAGCGAATATCTTGTCGTACAGGGCAACCGAGTAGTCGGTGCGGATGACGCAGATATGGATGGGCGAGCCGGAGAACAGATCGTTTCGTATGCCAGAGCTCACCGCATCGATGGCCAGAGACTCAGCCGCCTTCTCGTCGAGACGTGCGTGCCAGCGTTTCTCCAGCACAGCCATGCCGGCCAAGTGGCCCGATCCCTGCACCGCGAACGGAATCTTATCCGTGGTGCCCTCGAAGCGGGTGGCATAGAGACTGGCCCCCCCACTGTCCACCCCGCCGATGATCAGATTGACCTGGATGTGGCCCTGATAGCGGTACAAGAGATGCTTGACAAACTGATTGGCGCAGACGACAGGCACATGGCCGTGCATTCGCAGGCGGTGCAGCTCCATTTGGGCGTGAGTGAGGCGTGCCAGCTGGTGCAGATCACCGCAGACCCCGCACCCACCGGCGCTGCAATAAAAAAAACGGTAAGTGGAGCGGTAAGGAGCACCAGAAAATACCCACTAAATATTATCCTGCAAGCGATACAATTTCTTCATGCAATTGGTGGTGACCATGCCATCGGCTGTGCCCTTTCTGTCGGTGGCAATGATGACGCCGTCACGGTACTGTACGCCCACGACAGTGGAGCCCGTGGTCGTTGGCGGCATTGGAATAAATCCATTGCACTGTGCAAATTGGCTGTTGCTGCAGATTGGTTTCGTTTCGGGTATTGGCATGTAAAACAATACGGAGAGAGCAGGCAACACACTTACCGTTCGCGATTGACAAAACTAAAGCCGGTTGAGCTCCTTTGTGGCGGCGATTGGCTGCGCGCCTGCCACGTGGCTGCTGCGTTGAACATTCAGTGTGGATACGATTTGCTATGTGATATTTAGATTAATATTCGAATGTGTTTAGAGCACGGACTACGTGTGATCTTTTTGATGGCTGTTTCAGCTTTTATCGATTGACGTTTACATTTTGAATAGCCAGGCCAGCTTTTCGTTCTAGCATCCCCCGTGCCCCGTAACCAGGTGTTAAGATTGGGCTACAGTCAGCATTTAAATATGCTATAAGGGCACCAGTAGCTACGTATTATTGTAATTGGTAACGCGGATACAACCTGGTGGATGGTGTAACCTTGTGTACCATGTATTAATAATAAATAATATAAAAAAAAATAATAATAAATAAATACTAATAAATGTATTACGTAGCTTATAAAAAAGGGGGTTCAAGGTCACAGTCCCCACTGTTTTTCGCTTTAGAGTTATGTCTAGTACTGGAGTTTTTCCTGCATACAGCCCACAAAAAAGGTTCGATGCCGATTCAATCTTTTTTTTGCTGCATGTCTTTGCCCAAACTATAGCTACAGTAAAACCTGTGTGTAATAAATCTCTATTTTTAGAGATAGTATTGCAGCGTTATCCACAATGCATTTTATTAGTTTTATTAAATTTACAGCAGCCTACTATCTACCCCAATTGCCTGCCCCTTTTTGAGCGCATGCGGCGCGAGCGTTTTAAGAGCCCTCGACTGTCGCCAAGAATGCCGCTTACCACCTTGACGATGAATGGTTTGACCTGATAGATGTCGGTAATGAGGCCTGGATGTGCGCCATGGAACTGTGGTCCCCAGGCGACAATGCCGCACAGCTCGTCCACACCGGACGTCACGGGGCAGCCAAACTCGTACATGCGGTACCGGCCGCTGTTGAACTCTCGGGCACAGGCGATCGTCTCGGAGATCCTCAGCTTGTGCCTCGCGTACTGCGGCTGGCACTCAGTTGTATGCATGACGGCGATATCCTCGGTGCTGGTGCGATCGAAGGACTCCGTGGGATCTACGCCACAGGCCACCACCGTTAGCGTTTCGTAGGTGCGCAGCGGATTCTTGCAGAGCTGCACAAAGGGCTGCTGGCTGTCGTCGTGCAGGCTTTGGCGCAACTTGATCACCGCAATGTCCATGTAGTTGTCCGGATATCGATACTTTTTGGGCACATTGACGCTCTCGATCATGGCGTACTTGCTGGCCACATCCATGTCGGGATTGACGAACTCCACGCTCATGGTGTTCAGCTTCTTGCGGTACCTGTGCATGCAGTTCGCCGAGGTCAGCACATACAGGGGCTTGTAGTAGGAGGCGCCGCAGGCGAAATGCTCCCCATCCATGACGTGTAGCAGCCAGCGGCCCACGTGGCCGCCCTCCGTCCGCTGGTAGCCATTTGTGTTCACGGTCCGTACGAGTCGCTTAACATGCAAATTGGGATCCGAAAGAACTTTCTTATGCTTAACTGCCAGTCCTGCTGGCAGCAGCAATAGCAGCTGCAGCCACATCAAGATTCTATAGTTGGGATTCATGGATTGTACCTAATCTATTCGTAAGTTTTGGTCAACTGATTGCCATTTTTCGTGGCAAAAATAACTTGGGAAACGTAATTTTTGTAAGCTGAAATGTCACGTCTATTTGGCTATGCATATTACTGAGTCTTTGTTAATAAATGAGCGCAACTAAAGGAGTTCCCCAAGAGGGATTGGGATGCATTCCAATCCGACCCACTGCTGCCTATTTATCTGTGGGAATTTAACCAACAAATCGAATACCTGCCACATTAAGTTACCATAACTGAACCATTTCATAGCCCATGCTTGTATATTTAATTTATTTTATTGCACTCTTAGGCATGCTGGGGAACCCATTCAAAACCCTTAATGATCTCCTATAACCTCAGATACGCTATAGCTCATTAAAATCCCGTACGTTCTGTCTGCTCCGCTCGTTATTTTATGAGACAACAGCAACAATAAAACTGAAGAAAAAAAAAGAAGGAACGTGTGAGTCGCTTCTGGGGAAGCGACTCTACTTATACCCGTATTCAGTCAGTATATACATTTTTGAGCTTATGAATTTTTAGAATTTTATCACAAATCTAATATACCCCTTAACTCTTTTTGAGTACGGGTATAAAAACCAGTTGATTCAGTGGCTACAAATAAATGATGCCAGAATTGTAGCATTATTTTTGGGATCAGCACCAACCCTCCCCCCCAAACGAGTGCGTAAGTGCGTTGTATCTGAGTAACTGAGAGTATCAGCGATGTGTGTCATCAGAGACGCAGTCATTGTCATTGTTTTTACTGGTATCGTGTTTTCGCGCAATTAATTTTCGGTTTTAATTGATTTTTAAATGCTGAACCAAACGCGAAGATGATTAACGAGCTAAAAACGAAACGGGTTCAGCGCCTGATAATTAGCTAGATAGGACAGCTATGATAGCTATGCAGATATTATCTGTTAGCCTGTCATTTGTTTTGACCGCCTTAAAATGGAGTTGAGTGTCTTCTTTGTGAACCCTATGGATGTATTCGCACCTGCCCAGAGACAAATATATTTTTTTTTGGGGGGTTGGGGGTAAGACAGCGAAACTGCACGACTAATCGGTTAAAGGGGCGTGTCAATCGATGTGATCTGGGTCTCTTATGCAATGCAAGCCCCTTTGACGTGAACGCTGCTCCAACTGTTGCCAGAACGATACGTTCGGGGGGGCGGACTGGACTGGGCTGGGCTGACTGCGTTAATCATCGCCTCTCAGCGTGTTTTGGGGGAGTTCAAGTGTAAGTTGGGGTACAAACGAACGAGAAAAAAAAACCCGCTTAGCACCTGGTGACATCACAACCGGGTTTTCGGCACTGCTGCTGCGGCCCACTTGCGCACTTGCCCGCCTAGCGGTACTTTACGTTCTGGCCAAAAATAACGAGGGGATGTGCCCGCGCGCTGCTTATATCGGGGTATTTTGGTGGGGAACTGCGTAATTTGGGTTTCAAGTACAAAAACTGGACACTGAACCCGGTCGACGACGTCGATCAGCCCACTTCCTGATCGTAGGGCTCGTAGGGCTCGTAGGGCAACTACTCCCAAACATTTTTCCGGCTATTTGCTGTTGGCTGATGTCCAGTTGATCACGTAGGCCCGCAAGCGCAACCGCAACGGTCTGTGACTCGTCTCCGCACTGGACCATTCCGGCATTGTCAGTCCATCCACGCGCTGTCGCACCCAACATCGCAATCTGGACTGCCATCTGCCATCGGGCATTTATAATGGCTCAACATGCGGCTCGATCGGTTCGCACGCCCCGCCCCGCTCCGCTCCGTTCCGGCGTACTTTTATTAGTCACATACTCGTACATAATTCGGCGAACGTTCCCGTGCCGGGGTGCTGCTCGGCATGCCAAATGTGGCGCAGAGCGCGTGCGCGGCCCGCTTCTGACGTTCGTTACCCCATTTGCCTATTTAGCCCAGTCGCAGCATAAAGCACCAGGAAGCCCATCACCAGGGGCTATTCAGTGGAACTGTTCACTCATTGAATAGCTATGGAAACGTTTACGCTGACACTGTGCTTCAATTGTCTGGGGAAAATCTTTGCTCAAGACAATTCATTTGAAATTAAAGCAAATTTATATTTATTTATAACTATTTGCGGAATTTTATGGAATATACATATAGAATATTTGCACCAGTTTAATTGTTTACTTGTTAATTTCACTGTACTCGCACAAACCCCCCAAGTGTCATTAGCCCAATGAATAATTACCATTTGTTCGGTTGGCCCATCAAATACGAAAATCCCCATTTTATTGCGCTCTGTTTGTGGTGCTAAAATCTTTAACAAAATGTTGGCCGACCGTCTGCATACAAATTGTTTGTAATTTCCGTACAAAATCTTGTGACTTGCTTTTGTTTTTCGATTGGCAACAACTTCCCCTTCTTTAAGTTGCGGGGGGGGTCTTTCCCTTTCCCCACCCCCCGACCCACTGTGTGCGTCTTATTAAAACTGAAAAGTCCCGCATTTTTAATGATTTCCATAGAAATCTTTTTACTTTTTACATTTTGCTAGTCGCATCAGCAACAATAACAGCAACTTTTTTTTGTTTGTTTGCCATGCAACTGAAAACAATTCCTCTTAGTTATCTCTGGCAAGGGGAGCAGTGGTGTGGTGGTGCAGGGAGCCACGTGTTTCATCTGATATCCCTGTTGATGGCACTGCCATTGTCCTGCAGCTTTTATTGCATAGACTATTCCGCAATGCAAAGGAAGAGGAACATTTCCTTTTTTTTTTTTATGAAGGCTACAAAAAAATGATTGCTCTGTCGTGTCTGGTGTAATTTGAGCTGGTTAGTGATCTCTTTGCCGGGGCGACATCTGTTGCTCTCCAGAGACTGGATGTGTAATTGATTCTTCAGGAAGCTCAAAAAAAAAAAAACCATCCCAAAGATCCCAAAGATCCGATCGAGTGCAGACAGATCGGAAGCAGAGGCAGAGATGACGTTGATGTCTGGATCCGGAACGTCGCTGGTAGCGGACTCTGGGTTCATTGATCAGTGTAATGGTCTTCCTTTGATCTTGAGTTACAGCCAAGTGACAATTTCGGAGCTGTGTGGTGCACCTTCCGTTTGTGGGTGTTCCCCACTGCGATGGCTTTTTGACAGTTTCATTTCAACTAGCAAATTGCTGGAGTTTCCTGTTGTTGCCATGCCAACATGCCGTAAAATTTTTGTGCACTGTTAGCCCGAGATCAGGCCTGAAGCCTGAGGTTAATAACTTGACTGGCTGCGGGCTGCTGCGTAACCCGATAGCCTCACAATCTCTCACGCAGTCGAGAGAGGTGCTTGACCGACGTCTGGCTTGAGATAAAAACCTTCTTTTATGCAACGGACCAAAAAAAAATCCAGCAACCTGTAATCGAAACTTTTATGAGATCCGCCTTTGAGTCCATGTCGGTTCGGTGATGCTGCTCCGCTTTGCTAATGTGACCAACTGACCTTTTCGGCTGCCCCAAAGGCCCTCAAGTATCGAAGCTAATGACCGCCATGAACTCGGACATGTGATAGCTAGCCCCATGCTAGGGTTGGAGCCCCTAGCAAAGGTGCATTTGCAGCACCCTCAAGACCCAATTAAAAGCAAAAGTTACCTAACCCCCCCTAAACGACTGGGGGCATGCCTAAGCATTCACTTCCCGCCCTACCGCCCTACCCAAAAATACTTTCAACCGGCGAAGTTAACGTTTTTAATCCACTCTGTGACTGAGACGTAGCTGCCACATCGAACGTGTTGCAAGCGAACATGTGGCACAGGGATATGCCATGGGTTGGGGTGTGGGTTGGGCAGGTCTGTGTGGGTGTGGGTGTGGGTGGCTGTTGTGTTGTGTTGTGTTGCGTTGTTGGGGCTGCTACACGTTTTATTGTTGCGGTAGTCTTTGACGTTTTGCTGGGGGTGCGGGAAATGAAATATGGGAACCCCTTAAGGAACCCCGCCGAATCGGAGAGAGGCAGCAGTGGAGTGGCCTGTGTAACCTTTGACCTTCTTTCGCTTTATCCACAGATAACTGAAGATTAGACAGTGTAAATTGGGCAGCCAGATAACAGTGCCCGTAGCCGAAATCAATGTATAATCAATAAGCTCAGAACGCCACAAAACTTTTGTCAACTTTTCTGTAGAGTCTGAAACTTGGCGGAAGTTTTCCGGTTCCATTAGCATGTCCACTGCAAGGAAGCTGCTGCTCACAGATGAACCAACTTCTGCCAAGTTACGACTGCACAGTTACGACTACTCGTACGCGTTAATGGCAACAACAACGATCCAACAAGTGTCGCCGCCAAGCGAAAAGTTACGTCACGTCGGGAGGAAAGTGCCAAAAAACGTAGCTGTCAGCAGCCATAGCCACATCCATGTTGTGTTTACCAGCCACCCTGGCGTAGTGGAAGGAGCTTGCAACTCGAACGTGTGTGCAGGAAGTGAGTAGCAAACGGAACGCGGACCAACGGCGGGTGCAGAAAAAAATAAGCCAACAGTTCGCAACGAACCCTGAACGCAGCAAGCAGCCAGCAGAGCCCCCCGACACGAGACCCGAGTGACCGAGTTGGAGTTCCGAGTTCCGAGCACGAGCACGAGACCAACTACCCAGTCCCCCAGGACTGCCAGTCCTGTCGATATGGCAGCACAGAGCACAGAAGCAGTGGGGGTTGCTGTTGTTGTTGGTAACACTGTGCTGTGGATGTCCTCGTTCCTGTTTCAGGACTCGTTGCGGTTCGACTTCGGGTCGGGTTCGGTTCGGTTTCGGTTTCGGGCTTGGTCCCGCCGCCGCTGCACTCGCTGCGCCAAGAGTTTTGAAGTTTCGAATCAGTCGCCGCCGACTTGTTGGGTCATTTGCATATAAACGAGACAGCAGCAGCAACCTGCCTGCCAGCCATCTCTCTCTCTATCATCTCCTGTCACCGGAGACCGGAGACAGTGCAAAACAGTCCCTCACGGAGTGCATTAATAACCGCAGCAGCCAGTCCAGTAAATTGTAAAAATTAATTAACGATCAGCGCCTATCATATCATTTAATAATAATAACGAACCCGCCACTCAGTTCTGACAGTTAAAAGTGAAAGCTCGCACGAAACTTCTTCCGATCCGCACAGAACTACAAACTAAGTGAGTAATTTTTGTCGTCTATTTTTCGCTTACCTGTTCAGCCTGAATAGTTTACCAAAACTTTTGTGCATTCAGGCCTTCAAAAGTTTTTGCGCCGCAGAAAATCTAATTAAATTTTGGAAAATATTTTCCTCGGTTTTGGTGTTGTGAATATTGTGCGGCCAGCCAGAGTGCTTTCTGACCAAACTTAATTCGTGAAGAGTGCTGGTCGACACTCTGGATTTCTGCATAGTAATTATGAAATGTTTTGCTCAGTGATTCTCTTTGAGAGCTAACCAGTAGCTTTACGTGTCAAAGTTTAGTGGAATGAGTTCGGACAGCCTTAGAATTTATTGCGAGTATTTAAAAATGTATTTTGTTGTCGGGCAAATTGTGAAAATTCTGCATGAATTTTGTACAGTTTTTAATGCATTTTGGGTAATTTATTTTGGGTTCTTATGGAGTGGTTATTATCGGACTATGCTTTCCTAATTTATCCTCGGATAAAATACTCCTTTAAAATACTCGTATGTGACATTTCTTTTTGATCGATTGAAAAATAGTTTTAAATTATAAAGGGGTTAATTTTGTATTAATTACGAATTGAAGCTGTGATTTGTTTTAAACACTGAAACATAAATTAGATGTATATATATATTATATACGAAAATATATACTTTTTTTTTGCCTATTATCAAATTATAAATATTTTGGATCACACAATAATTGAGATAGAAAATTTCAGTTTTCTATTTCCAAATATTTTTAATGATTAAATATTTTGTTGAAATTATAAAACTTCTCTCATACTCGTATTAAGTTAGTTAAGTTAAATTAAACTTCGCATTAAGAATTTATACACTTACGATACCTTCGATATCTGCACACGTCAATCTGTGATAAATGCTCATCAATTATTTGGAATCCGTTCAATTACAAAACTCTCTGACAAATCTGTTCACTTGATAATCCGCTCTGTCTGACGATTAAGCTGCCTGGCATGTGAGACAAGCTCCTTGAGGATGCCACAGATGCCAAAGCATATTCCCTTTATACACAGAAATGTCGCTGATTTGATTAGCAGGTGCCGAGCAGAAGGAGCCAATGAGATGAAAGCAACTGACTCCTCGAGCACGGACGGGCAGCCATGAAATTTTAATTTAACTTACTGCCTTTGTATCTTTGTGAGAGGAGTGCCTGTGCCTGCCTGCTGCCTGCCTGCCTGCATGCCTGCTTGCTAGTGTCTGTTGTGGGCTCTGTGTCAAGCCAAAAGACAAACATTAACATTACGTGCCTTGGCATCAAACTAAAAATAAAGACAATGCAGTTTTATGGCCCCATTTGGCAGCAAACGCGTCTTGTGAGTAATTTAAATGACTCTACCCGGTTAGAGTCATGGGTATGCTGATTACTTGTAGCTACAGGCTGAAGGCCACCCGACTCCCAGCTATTATTGGTCATCAAAGACGAGACAAGACGGGACGGGATATCCGTCTGTATTAGCATGAAGTTCCGGAAACTTAACGCGCTGTCATCGTAGAAAATTGCGAACAATTTGTGCCAACTACGTGGCATCTACGGGATACTCGGGACGCCTACTTAAAGATGTCCTGAGTAAATTTAGGATTGCACAGAATTCTACCAATATTAGATTTTAAATATATAGCAGCAGTGTAGGTATTTTTTTTACCTTTGTAATGCTGTTGCTTACTTTCAATTAGGCAAACGCACGAACAGCGCTGAGGGAATGACAGGAAACGGAAATTGGGAAAGGGGAAGGTGAAATAGCAACCCAAACTAGTGGTAGTCCTGGTACCAACCGCTTCTTGGTTAGACTTACTCCCTTTGCGTGTGTGTGTGTGTGACTCTGTGGTATGTGTGTGTGTGTGGCGTTTGCTTGTGTGTGTTTAATTATACATTACGTATGCGCCACATTTGACGCATTGTGGGTACTGCGGCTGGCTGGCTGACTGGCTGACTTTTTGTTGTTGTTTTTGCTATTTTTGCTGTTGCTGTCATTTTGCGGCTTGTATATTTTAATTAGCGCCTGTGAAAATATATCCATGTGTTCTTGGTTTGTTTGTCTATGTTTATGGTTGGTTACTTTTGTTGTTGTTGTTATTGTTATTGTTATTTTTGTGCCCTGTTTTATGGTCAACATTAGTCGAAAATTGTCGCATGTATTTTTATTGGTCGTTCTCGAGCATCATATTAATGGGGGCCGAAACGAACACATTACAGATAATAAATTATTCAGCCGACAGACACAGAGAGCGAGAGAGGCCGAATGGCCATTACAATTGCATTTAATGGGTGGGGGTGGGAGTTGGCAAATGCAAATCTATTTCGAGAGCAGCCGCCGCCCACAATGGCAGTTCGGAGTGTAGCAATTAAGTGATTGATCCATAAATATGATTAACTTTTAAGTGGGGGGGCAGAGCACATACATAAATCAAATCCTTTTGGCTGGCTATTGAGTGCGCTGCTGCTGCCTAACAATTGCACAGTTTTAATGGTGTAAATATGCCACACAGTGGCGATAATTTACATACGCACTTACGCATCTGTTTATCCGCCTGTTTTCCATATAATTACATTAAAATATTTCGGTTTTTCTGCATGAACTAACTTGACATCCCCACACAAATGAACTGCGCCCTGAAAAAAAAAAAACAGCAACAGATGAACTTGTTAACAGGAGCACAGAGCCAGACCCAGACCCAGATCTAGACCCAAAAACCTGCCCACCCTACCCCCATATCATATTCAAAGCTTTCAGTCTTTGTGTCCGACTGTCACTTCACAACAATTACGATGCCGAACATCTTTGTACCTTTCTTTTTTGTGCTGCCTTTTAATGAGCCAAAAATATACAAATGAAATGTATAGAGTGAGATGCGAGTGGGAGGAGGCGTCACACAGATGACTGACAAACATTGCATTGGTTGTTGCTGCTGTAAATTTTCACGCTTGCATGGGTTTTGCCCAAGCCCAAGTCCTGAGTTCTCTGTTGCTTTTCACATTTGTTTTTGGCTTTTTGGGCTGGTGTATCGCAGCAGGAGCGGAACAGCAGTGGGGCAGCGGCAGCGGAGGAGACTTTTACCTTCACTGGCTGCCGCTATGGCCGTAAAATATTTAAGCACCTCTGAATGCACTCACACATTTATGAAAGTGTAAATATTTAATGATGAAAATCCTACGCCACAGACAGATTTTTTGAAAGTGTGTGCTGGCCTCTGCCGCTGCCTCATGGCGTCATGGCGTCATGGTTGCTTGGCCCTAGGTAGGTGCCTTTGGTTTTTGGACCCTCTCTCTTCTAGCCGGAAGTGTTTTACGTACGGGAGTGTGGACCAGCAGAGGGCATTGGCTGCTGGCAGGTATTTTGTGGCCCGTTAGCGGTTTATCGTAACATGCGGCGTATGCGTAATGTCTCTCAGTCCACACGCAACAGGCACCCAAATGGTCGAGCATGCATTATTAACTCGCCTTTGTCCAGGGCTCCATTCCGCACCATTGGCTGCCACGTACACGTGACATCTTTAATAAGGAGGCTGCCGGTGAAGAAATTATGCGCATCATAATTAAATTCCATGATAAATGAGAGTTGACGCCAAGACGGATGCCTGGATGATGATGGCTCGCCCCCCGCCGCCTCTTAATCAACTCACGCAGAAAAAGTCAGCAAAAAAGGCTGCGAAAGAGCAACAGGGCAAGGGGGAAAGAAGAACGCAAAAAAAAATGATGAAGGTAAAAGTAAAAGGTAAAGACAAGACAAGCGCAAGTAATGAAAGCCATTAAAAATGGCGGCGGTTTAACTGGAAAATCGATAGGCGAGTCAGGCCACACCGGTGGAAGGCGTCAAAAGTAAAAGAGAATAGAATGCAGGCCAGAGGTGGAACTATCCATGGAACCCGGACACTGACTCCACCCAGTTCTATTTCCTTTTTATTTTTTTTTATGGTTATCAAACACACACACACACACACACACACACTCGGAATACGAGTCGCCCGTAAAGTGTCTGCGTATGTGGCAACGGGGTATGGCCATCCACGTGTAGGTTGATAGTATTATTTTTATTGATATTAAAGTCGTGTGTTGGCTGGTTTATATTTAACCTGTGCTGCTGATGATATAACCAGCGCATCGCATGCAGCCAACACAAAAGCATTAGAGTGGCCAGCCATTAGCTGCAGGTGTACCGCGGCGGTTAATTGGCCCAGCTCCTTGAGCGTCCACAACTAACCCGAGTTTATCCTTTCGCTCTGTGGCACGCGAGACACCTGCAGCAGGAGGCGATGAGCTGCTGGTAGTGGCAGTCAGAGGTAATATATTTATGGCCATCATTCAGTGAGACAGACACACAGAGGCGCATAGCTGTCATCGTGCATGAATAATTCACGTTAATGTATCGCCAGGGGAATGGCTAATGAAAATGTTCTAGATAGCTGGAAGCAAGCCCAACCCCAACCCAACCCCAACCCCAACCCCTTACTGCCATTGATATTCGTTAGTTCTGATTGACTGCCATTCATCTTTATGGCAGGCAGTCTTGTTAGTCTCCGCTTCATACAATCAATTCCTGGTGCTGGCTCCTGTTCCTATTTTCCTTCTGGCTGACACACAAGAAGCTATTTTTCAATGCTAATCCAAGCAGCACCTGTGCTGCTGTGACAACATGTCCACGCGCATTCCAATTGTGTCAAGCCCGGACTTACGCAACGGGCTGCCAGCAGCTGGTGCCTGGCCCCAGTGCCTGCCATCGAACTTGACAAGTTGGCAAACACGGGCACGATTGAAAGTGCAAGGCAAGAGTGCATTAAAAATTCATTAAAATATATGTACACTCCACGCCGTGCCACAGCCCCACCAGGGACTCAAAAAAATGTCCAAGGAAACAAAACATTTGATTTAAATTGAAGGCAGGGAGAGAGAGGGAGAGAGAGAGCGCGCTCTGCCCTCTGGCCATGTCGGGACGCCCCATGGTGCCCGCATAGACCAGAAACAAGGCGCCTCTAATT